TGAGTAATGCGATTAACATTTCTACCAGGACTTGGTAATCCATGAATTTCAGCATAATTTTCGAGAAAATTCTTCACGGCAGTAGCAACGTTTATATCAATGGTTATTTTGGTTTTTCATCGCGGTACTCGTTTGATGTTACCATGAACGCGTGGTATTATACCATTCGTTGCCAGATGATTTCTGACGTTTTCGAAGTGAGTGCGACCAATTCCCAACATATTGAAATACGTTTTCTGACAAAGTGGCGTATTACGATCTCAATAATAAAACGTTCTCTTATTAGCACGCGTTTTCTTTTTAAGACGCCGACTGGCAACTATTTCTCCACCATTCATTGCTTTCAACTGGGCCATTAAAAACATATCTTGTTCGGATCTTGAGAGGGCTTGAAACGCCTCACGTAATTCGGCAAACCCTTTTCTCGAAATCGTTTTTGAGCAACCACAATTGCAACCTATCTCCAAGAAACGTATTGCTTTTTCAAATTCAGTCGAACCATTGTATTCACTATTTTTCATATACGGGTAATCCTATATATAGTTTTAATAAGATCTTTACTGGTGCGGGATATGTAAACCCCTCTTTTATCATTTCAAGTCTATTAAATTAACAGCAAACAAACATGAAGAGCCATAGGAATATAGGACTAATATAGATAGAACAAGCAATAATCATGATGAGATTCCATGTCAATCTTTATTATGTTCCGACACTTGTCAGAAAACCCTTTTTGTATTGTACTTAAACAGAATAATGCAAGAGTCACTATTTTAAAGCAATAACATCGTTATCTTTCTAGGTGCAAAGTAAATGAATGCATGCATGTGTACATTTGTGAATAAGAACCACTATTTCTTTGAATTTAAGTATTCAACTTGGTTATGTCGATGAAAGTAATAATTGCAATTATGCATACCACCTTTATCATTTCTTGGCTTTTTTGCTTGGACCACCCAGTGCAGACGTTTTGTTCTGTGTTTGCGACAGCAACCAGATAATATGGCTGAGAACTTTTCCTGCCTTTTCCTTCATAGAAGTGTCAGTATAATCAACGACAACTGGCTGCTGCGACAGCTTAAATGCAGGCGTTTCCCCATTCAGCGTACATTCAAGGAAGAACCATTTCTCTGCATCAGTGACTATGCCGAAACATCTGGAGACAGTATTTAATTCACTGGCTTTGCGCTTTCGGCGGCTGGCCTATCATTGCAACTTGTTAATTCTATAAGAAATATATGTCAATTAAAGTTTCAGAAAACTTACCAAAGTGGATTCCAGTTGCACAGCGTTCTGAGCAACGCCCTTCTCAAAGTCTTCTCTTTTGACTTCCATCACACCAACAGTCTGCCCATCATGTGCATCTATTGCAAAATCGACGGGGCCCCTTCCATTGATACCCTCAATAAATTTTTCTGGCCGAATTTTGAAATTGTCCTCGAAAAGGCTCACCGCAGCAATTAAGTAAGAGAAAACATAAATCGACCTAGTGGCAAGGGATAAAAATCGGAGACGTTGTTTCAGCTCGACCATAAGGTTTGAAAGTGCCATCTGCTCTGTTTCGCTGTTGATATTTGCGAGATTGCATTTGAAATCAGGAAATGAGTCCAAACCAGGTTCCGTATCCTCAGTAATTGCAAATAGCTGGCATACATCTTTGAGTTCCCAGTCGCTGAAGGGTTTTGATGGAGTTTCCAGCGATACTGTGATTTTCCGTTTGTCTGCTGCCACCAACTGCCGTAGCATCCCCTGAAACGTAGCATCGTTCCGGGGACTATAAGCATCATCATCTTCCGTTACGAAATCGAACACGACATTAAGCTGTTCCAGGGCCAAATATTTTGCAAAGATAGCGGTCGTCAGATCGGCGAGAGTCGCAGTGCTTGGATTCGCGACCCACATAAACGACGACTTGCGGTTCGGCTTAACAATCAATTCAAATGCTTCGGGGAAAAAAGGGTTCAATAATTAACAACCGGGCAAGTCAGGACACTGTTGTCCAAGAAAAAGATACCAACCATACTCTGACTTCAAAAACTCTTCTTGCTGGGCTGCCAGCTGGGCTTGCAGATTCTGTATTTCTTGGTTTGTGGCAGGCCCTGATGCGTAACTCTAGCTGTAAAAACGTTCTCTTAATAAAGAAAACCATATTACTGCTCTGTCCCTAATGCCCGAGTCACAAAGTCGTTACCTTCTCTTCTTCAGCGAGAATTTCCAGCTGTTTCTGATCATAAACTTCTTTTGTAAGAAGTCCTCGTTCAAACCGTTCTTTCAACTTCGCAAGTTTGTCGTTGACGATATCCATTGTGGAAGCTTTTTTTTTCTGTTCGCAAGTTTGGCAGATGTGCTGCGCGATGTGATCTAATATCAGATATACTAAACGCTGATCAGTGGCTTAATCAATGACGTATGACTAGGAACTTTCTAGATCTTTTCACAATGTAACTATTTCCCCTATATGCAGATGATAATCAATGCGCAGAAATTCGCGTTTGTCTAATTATCGTCCGCAGTGTATGATGAATAAACGGATATTTTATTATAAAACAGCACTGGTTAACTTTAGAAATCAACCACAACCCAATAAATATCGTTGAAACAATACATCGTTTAAAGCAATAAAACAAATCTGTCAATTTCCACCGACAACACTACGAAAAATGCTTACATTTACGAGCGAATTCCTTTTTGGAGTATTCATTGGCTTTGTTCTCGGCCTGTTGCTAAATGGCACAATTTATAATAACCAACTCCACAACATGGGACTATTAACCAATCCAGAAAGTTGTCAAAAACGAAACCATCGGCGAACAAAATTTATTCGCCAGATATCGAAACGTTGTGGAACGCTTTGAAGCAATTATACGATAAACGAATCAAATTAGATTCAAAATTTTCGTTTAACGAAATGGCGTTTGAAATTTCCAAATTACTGAATAAACAAAAGACCATCGCTGCATTAACAATAAGAAATTTTTACCTTCGACGAACAATTCTGCGGAAAAAGACGATCGAAGCAATCCAACGTTGGATCGACGAAGAAAAGAAGGAAAACGTAAACTACTCAGATGAACAAATAGATAATAGTGATAATATTATTAATAACAGTAATAGTATAAAAGATAATGAAATTTAAAATTTGCACCGGAGTGACCAAAGAATAGGTTATACTCTTGGGTCCGAGTATTTTCCTCCCATGCAATCACTCTGGTGCTTTTAACATTATTTATATTTTCAAGAGCGCGCATTT